ACAAGATGAGCCAATATGAAACTTTGTTTGCACGTTCCTAGAAGATGCAACAATTAGTTGATAAAATTTTGAGTAAGACTGAGGTAATAAGGTTAAGCCAACACAAAATGTTGGATTTTTTTGACCCAAATTAGGTTGGATTTTGAGAAAATAATTTTTCCTTCTTTACATGTGTTTTTAACTGTTTCCTTTATTTCACCTGATTTTTGATTTTGTTTCCATTTTTGTGGTATTTCTAGGGTTTGGCACCCACACTTATAAATACTAAACTCTTTTAAATTGTGTAGGCACAATTATTGTATCTGTTTTCTCCATATTAGTCAATTGAATAAAATACTCTATTCATCTGCCAATTAATTCTGTCTTTTATCTTGTGGTTTGTTTGTAATCATGTACTTCATATTCTGTCATATATATTATCTCGATCCGTTTTATTTTCCAACACAAAATGCATTGCGATACATGAATGTGATCATATTTTTCAATGATCACGACTTTTCTGCACTATAATAGGTCATCGAGATCCTTTCGATGACCTAGTTATCCTTTTCTCTTAGGCTATCGATATTGTGTTTCCCTCGTGAATGAGAGTCTCCTTAAATTTAGGCAAGGCATATTTTGATTACTTAAATTATTCTCTATTGATTATCAGTGTCTATGTGCATGTAACTTTCCGCTTCGTTCAATAATGGGTTAGAGATTCCTTTTAAATCACTAGCCATAAGTAGGATAGCATCAAGAACCCTAGTAATAATCAACACCAATAACCTTTTACTTTTAATTACGTACCAACCAAATGAATTAATATGATGCTTGTTAACTTTTAATGTTTATTAATTTTTTAATCTGTCTAAAGTTTATGTTCTATGAATTTACCTCTAAAAAAATGTTAGAACAAAGATTTTTATGTTTGTCGGTGCTGAAAGCCAAGTTGGGCATCTCTTCATTGAATTCCGGAAATCAGACGACCTTTCGTAGTTCTAAGGAAAAATGCATGCACTCATACATCATGCATTTTACCAAATTCTAAACTTTTCTTTTCCAAGAACTCGAATATATTTATGTAAACATTTTTTTTATTTGATCGAGCGAGACTCTCTTGTCGGGGTGCAATAAAGTCGTACTTAAGTTAATGGATTGGATCACTTAAATGACGTGATCGAATTTCATAAAAAAAGTTTAATCTATTCTCACTGAACACCACTTAATTTTCAGTTGAGATGCATGGTTGAAATTTCGAGTCATGAGTTGGAGTCACAAGGATTGTTGGAGTGCAATAAGGTCATTCTTAAATCAATGAGCTGAATCACTCAAATAACGATGATAGAATGTCATAAAACGTTTAGTATGCCCTCAGTAGATATAGTGCAAAATCCAAAAAACTAGAGATCTTCATTCACATCTATACAATTGACAAGAACGAAAATTGAGAAGCGTTTTCTTATATACACGATGGTGTTGATTTATGAACTAATTTTACGAATTTGCTCATGATAAGTGTAAATTGTTCACTTAATTATTTTACATTCTTACAAGTATGCCAGTCGTTTTGAGTGGAGATTTTGTTTATATTAATGTGATTTTGTGTTTAAGATAACGACCCTGAACTTGGATGGAGTTCGAGCAAAATAATGTGAAAAAAATCGAAGGGTAAGAATTTATGTATTTGTGAAAATCTGAAAATGTCCCTCAGATGATTTTCGAAACTGCAAAAATCAAAGGGTAAATGTTTCGAAGATTCAAGTAAGAGTTTAGCTAGGGTTTCGATAGGAAGAATCGAAGAATCAAGAAGAAGAGAAAGCTTGGATTTATGGCTGCAAGCTCGTTCATCTGACTTCCCAACTTTACTTCTCTTTTGTTTTTTAATCTTGTTGATGAACTTAGCCCCTGTTTCATGAAAATCAAAATTCAGATTTTAATCTATGTCAAAGTTACTACACATTTCATGAGACTCACAACTTTTTAACTACACATTTCATCAACTTCTATCAAAATCTACTAAAAATTTGATTTAAATCCTCACCAAATAGGGGATCAAACTCGAATATGTATTTGGGATTCGATGGTGAAATAAAACGACAACATTATAACCTAGTTTTCACACAAACATAACTTGTCAAATTGCAGTCTTCAGTTAAAAGAAAAAAAAAGGCGACAGAGATAAAAGCAAAATTTAGTGATCACTTGGGGGGAAAGTTTGGTGATTAATATAAAATCTGCCATCGGTTTGCTTTAAAATTCTAGCAAAACTTGGCACTTAAGGCCCTGTCGATCCACGTTCTTTCAAAATTCATTTTCAACCACAGATTCTTCAATAAAATAATATTTTTCATCACATTCAAAACTTTTCTTCATTCTTCTATCTAAATATTAGTTAAAGTGTTATTTGTTTTATAGCAAAAATTATAAATTCAGATAGAAGACATGGATATACTTCAATGGTTTGTGTTGACGTATATGAATTTCGATTTCGTTTGAAAGAGATCATCAAATGAATTAGAAAATTCAATTGTCTTACATTGAATATATATCGTGAGAATGTAGTAAATGAAATTGAACTCGATTGAATATGATGAAATCATTCGTCCTAACATTTAAATCTTATTGAACTTTCTTGAGTCAAGTTTATACAAATCAATTTCAATACTCAATAACACAATTTATTCACACGCTTTATTATTTGTTCGATTCATACATTTACGATATCCCATAACTCCTAAAAAAGAGATTGAGAAGTGGAAATTTTTATAGTATTTCGGAGCCGATTGGTTTTTAAATATTAATTTATTTTTCACAAAAAAATAGTACTAATTAAATTTACCTAATGGTTGATGGACAAAGAACAAGTATGTGACTGCATTTCTATAATTTATTATGTTCAAAATAAAAAAAAAGGGCACTGTTCATTCANTTTTTTTTTTGTTTTGTTTGTTTTTTTTTTTTTTTTTTTTTTCAGTTAAAATACAAATTCAAAATTTTAAAATTCAAAACAAATAATGCTCAAACTAATTACACTAATATCCAAGGGAAGCACTTGAAACAAACAATATCCAAAATTAAACATTTATAGTTAATTATTATTTTTCATTCTTCACGGGACGGATTCGAGGTGGGGCATCTCTACCCTTCCAACTTGTCGGGCGGGTTTTTTCGCCTTATTCAGGGCGACATATTTACTTTTCTTTGGGGTGGTAATCAATTAATTTTTAAATTTTAATTAATATATGAAAATGGTCCAAGATAATGTACTTATCTTATAGAAGGATTAAAAAAAAATATTTACTAATGACGTGGTATGAAAAATGGTAGTTATTAAAAGGCTTATTTAATGATAATAAATGGAGAAAAGGGTCGATATAAAGTAAGCAATAAATAACATTTTTTTGACAGAATTTTTACTACCGGTAAAAACCTTTCACCCAAGAAGTATCTCCAATAGACCATCTATTTTTAAAGAGCATATTCTATCATTTAGAGAACATCTATAAATTTAGAGAGTTAAACTTTTGAAGTACTTTAACAAACTCTTTATATTTAATGCTTAATTTTACTATTCCCAAAAAATATTTATTATTTTTGTTTATCTTTTATTTTAACTAGTTTTTTTAGATTATTTTATTATTTTTCTACATTGAAAATTGAAATATTTTGAATGTATTTAATTATATAGAGTGCGTTTGACTCTCTAAATTTGGAGAGCCGAACCCACTCTCTAAATTAAAATGTTAATTTAAAGAATCTTTTGGAGATACTATTAGAGACGAAAATTCTGCTCTTGCAAAGCCTTTGTATTAAAGGAGCTGAAATTAAGTATCTGTTTGGTATCAATTGAAACTTAGATTTTAATCTAAATCTAAATTAATAATTAATTTTAACAGTATATTTATGGGTCCCACACATTTTCAACCACACATTTTATTAACTTTTATCACTATAGGCTAAAAATATAATTTTAATCTCCATCAAATATGAGCTAAATATTTTTATAAAATAGTAGGATTGTATTTGAGCAAAATAGGCTTCCCAAGATTTTAGACGTATTCTTGGTTAAGGGTAATAAACCAACCTCGGTTGATAATGAAATCAAAAATTAAATTATAAGTTTTTGGACTACTAATGTCGATAACGTTAACCTTTAAAATTGAACTCAAGTCTTAGTGGGTGTTTGGTGTGGATTAAAATTAGATTTTTAGTAGACTGTGATAGAAGTTTTTGAAATGTGTAGTTGAAAAGTTGTAGGACCCATGAAAGATGTGGTTAATATTGATTGTTTTGACTTTGAGTTAAATTAAAATATGATTTTAATCCGAAACAAACATGACATTAATATCTTTTCATGAGCTCGAAAGTTTTGTAGAGCCAACAATTCCATAAAAGTTTTGAAAAAAGTGAATTAAATTTGTCTTATGGCAAACATTAATCGTAAAACCAAACTACCTAAGCATTTGGTAAACTTAATCTTAAGGGTAAAATTTAAGCATTTTTGCATATTAAAAAATCAATGTACGAGAGTTTATGTCAGCATGATTGACATTTTAAGATGAAACCATATCATGTCAGCATGATTAACTTTTTAAGATGAAACTATATCAAAGACCAATAATGTATTTTTACCATTTTAAAGCTCAAACTAGACACCATCGACAATGAACATATTAGAGTAACATTCTAGTTTAAAGATAAAAACTTAACAAGATTGATATTTTAAATAACAACTCAAACACACAATAATTTTTTAACATAATATTTATTTGAAACAATCATCACTTCTCTAAAGAATGTGTTCACAACCCTTGATACAATATATATATATGATCCTAAAACGTTGTAATTCCATAACCAAATTCTATATAACATCTGACTTTGAATTAACCATCGAAACAAAGCAAGAAAAGGGTACAAGTAACATATTAAAATTTTTATTAGGCAAATCATAAAAAAATTCCTCTAGTTTCCACAATATAAAGACAGCCCCAGGCTCTTACACCTCAGTCTTGAATTTAAGAATTTCTTGGAACCTGCAAATAATTTCTAAGTAAATTAATCACTTTTGTGAAGTCTATGAACTTTTCTGCTTATTTCAAATGTACAAGAACCATGCTTATAATTGAAATAATGGTTGATGTAATGTTATATAACACTCTATCATTTGATTGTTTAAAACACAGTCGTCTTTTTCATCAAATCATCTTCCACCACCTAGGATTATGGCACTGCTTCTGACATTATTCTTTTGACAAAGTGATTTAAATCAATGCACAATACACACACATAAATCGTGAGAGAGGGACCCAATTTAATTAAACAGTACAATAAACAAAAATTTAACTTGTATATCCTTCTTAATAGTGATTCATCCTACGTAAAAAACCAAACATATTTCCAATTCATATTGTACTTCTAATGCCATAATTTAACACTTCTTTAGTTGAAGTATGCAATTAAATCATTGAAATTGCATGATTTGAGTATTGAAGATCTTATTGCAATGAAATTAAGATAGGAGCCTATTAATTATCCATAATTTAGTTTAAAAGACTATGGGATATTTTTATCAGATACTGTAAAATGTGTGCAATCATATGCTGAATCTCACTATATTTGATTCTTAATTATTAACATAGATTGAGAATATGAACAACAAAAATCTTTCAATCTGATTTAAACGCCTTTTTAATATAAATTAATATTAATATCCTAAAATTGATAAATTTATTAATTTGAAATTTTTTCATCAATATTTTGAATTCTTGTTAAACTTCATTTTTAAAAAAAAGTCCTTGCTAGAGAAAGATGATACATTTTGGTAGTGATTAATACTACTCAAACAGGGCTGGGGACAACGAATTTAAACAGGTCTGAGGTCAGCCCTTCATTTGAATTATTGTAATTCAAATCAAGGGTTGAGATGGATGCACCTCAACACCTGTTAAATCCCCTGTTCCCAACACTGTTTGAATAGCAGAGCTCTTCGGTAGCAAGGTTGGACATTACTCAATGCTAATATTAAATAAATTATTATTATAGTTTGGTTTCTTTCAGTGCTACGTATTAAACATTGACCCATGGATGTTAGTGATGGTGCAGTTAAATTTGACTTGGGTTTTATGGGATACAACTTCCAAAGCAATTTTCCATAATGAATAAAGCTATTTGTAGAAATTTTGTTGACAATTTTATTGACAATCTGTGTTGTCAAGATTACTGTTGATTTAAAAAATAATTTTCAAAATGGATGGTGTAAATTTCTATCAACTCATGGTTGTCAACAAATTTGTCAAACATAGTTGTACATGTAGCATGGTTCTTCCATAATTTGGTATTGATTGCTTACCAGGAAATAGCTTTCACCTTGCTGAAAACTCTGCACCAGAAAACCATACTCATTTACTTGAACTGGTACTCCTGACGAATGAAATAAGACAAATTCTTGACCAAACATGGATTTCATGTCCACAGCCCCCCGAGGTATTTCTGTTGGAACTCCATTGATAAACACTGTAATCAATCCTGAATAGTTTTGAAAAGAAGCAGTTCAACACAGTATCAAAGTAGACAAACACGGGATCCAATCCTCGACCAATAATTTATGAAAATATGCAATGTGACATCTTTTCGTGAATCTCAATTCATAAATCCAAAAGAAGATAAGATTTAAACTCTAAATAAATTTGAATAATACACAACAGAAAAAATAGCTAAAATGAAGTTTAGGGTTTGGACTAAAATGAAGAAAAATGAAAAATATAATGAAAACCTATATAAAATCTACTGAAAAGGGAGATAATTAGCTATGCTAACTGCAAAATTGTCAATAACTAATTGAAAAAAAATAAAATAAAAAGCAATTACCAGACTGGTGTTGCAAGTTAGAAGTTTCAGCAGGGCAAAAACTTGAAAGATTTTGCTCAATATCCTGGAGGCCCGGATGGCCACCGGAAAATGAAAAGAGATTATCATAATTCTCATTGCCGACGAGGCTACAAGATGCAGAACACATAGGGGAACACACTGAATTGGGAGCAAAACCAACGGAATTAGAAGTGGTATTTTCACACTGAATTGCACCACCAGTACTTGAAGTCTGAGTTTGTTGTTGTTCTACAGCAAGGTCCGCTTGAATTTGTCGTTGCCTCCGGCGAGATCTCGACCGCCGGTTTTGAAACCAGTAGAAGACATTGGCATCACTAACGGAGCCAAATTTCTCGAGCAGTTTTCTGATTCTCACAGTTTCGTTCTTTGGAGGATTAACCATACCACTATTGAAGATGGATTCAAGTATAAGAATTTGCTCGGGTTTCGGTGTCCACCGGGATCTCACCGGTTCGTTTCTCTCAGTTTCAGAGCCATGGTTTGGCTGACTACTGGTGTCTCGGACGTGATCTTCCATGATTCAGTGAAAGAGAAGGAAAAGTAACGATGAAAATTTGAAGGCACAGCTCACATAGTATAGTCCACATCGAGGGTGCAAAGTACTTAAAGGCCAAGAGGCAATGTCTACTTGTGAAATGGCACTATTACCCTTGTTGTTGAACTTCGTCTACAAGCTTAAACGGGATGTTACAAATTTATCTATTCATCAAAAGCGTGACATTAACTTGAACTGATGACTAAGTACTCTTATTTGCTTTGTTATTATATTAAATCATTTTAATTAGCTAAAATTGAAAGCTGTTACAAAGGAACATAATTCGTTTTACATAAATTATCTTCCATTGTTATGCTTAGATTGCTAATGCTACTCTATATTATATATACTTAGACGTGTAGCTGCGTACAAAATTATTTCTTAAACAAATTAGCAATTAGATGGAGTGTGGATTAATTAATTAATTTAGTTAAAAGAGTCTCTTTTTGTTTATTTTGATGTCTAGAATGTTTAATTTTCTTATGTTATTAGGTTAGTCAGCATATATATATATATAGGAAACAAAGAACATAAATTATGAGCGAATCATCCGTGGACGAGCAGCTCCTATAATATCTCCAAAGAGAAGAAGGCTTGCGCTTTATGGGGGCCATCATACCAAATGAAACGATCTATCTGATCAAAAGCCAAGTTGGCCATATGGTCAGCAATAGTATTAGCTTCCCTGTAAACATGAAGAATTTGGACTTGCCAGTCTTGATGCAGAAGCGTTTGGACCCGAGATATGAGATCCCCATTTTGAATGGACTTCAAAGAATTTTTGTTGAAAATCAAAGCGACAACTGAATTGTCAACTTGGACCTGAACCTTGAGCCACCCATTCTTCCATTTCCTGCAAACCAGTGTAAATACCCCAAAGTTCCGCTCTAAAAGCGTTACAATGGCCCAGCTTGACCGAAACAATTAGATAGAATAATAGTATCTAATATTAGGGGTACTAGAATACCAGTCCGTGTGGTATTATGTGTTACTAAAATTATACGATTTATTTAATTGTACCTGTCATCTGATGACACTTAGTGTCACTTAGGTTAGTTTATGTTATATACACAAAAGTGAAAATTAAATTTAGGATACACATTGCTATTATAAAAAGTATTGTTATTTTCTTACAATTAAGTTTATTGCTATCTCCCTTATAATAATACGAAGGATTAAACGCTAGTAATCTGTTTCTTTTTTCAATTCATTAGTATCAGAATGAAGGATTTCACATTGGCTCTATCCATTTATGTGAAAATCATTTTTGATTCTTAAAAACTGTTATTTTGCCATGGGTTAACAAACATAAACAGGCAATGATTGAGGGCAACTTTGTCCAAAATCACTTTATACAATCCTATACCAAAATATATAATTATATAAATGTGGGGAATTGTGTTGCCAATAATTAGCCTTCAAGATGTTGCGTGTTTTCAAAAAATTATCTTAAAAAAGTTAGAGTAATGCTATTCATCTGTAATGAGATTGAACCTCAGTTTATGTAGCAATTATATGGTGTTAAATAATAGATTCATTTAAATACAAAGTCACATGACTTATTTAATTGAGTCTATCATTTAATGCCACGTAATTGTCTTATAGATTGTGGCTAAACCTCAGTGGAGATGAATAATATTATTTAAAAAGTTATTACTGATGTGGTTATTTTTATCGGAATTTGACTATAGTAGAAAAGTTTTAAAATAAATAACTGAAATAAATTTAATTTATATTTATATCTCTTATACTAATATCTGATGTATCATTTCATTTTCATCAAGTACATGATAAATTAATGAAAACTTTTATAAGCGAGTGACGTGAAACTTGGATACACTCACATTGTCTCTCTAATAACATGCTAAATAACAACGTGATATGCCTAGAAACTCTTTCACTTTAAGAATACTAGATATTTTTTAAATAAAGCTTCATTAATTCATTAGAAATACATAATACTTGACAAAGATTAAGAAAAATATCAACGTTTTATATTAAATAATCGAAAAATGTTAAATAAAAATTAAACAAAAGTCGAGATTGTGGCGCAATTTTGAATAAGGAGTTAGATTTTAAGAAATAATTATTGCACTTACTCTATTAATATCTAATCTAGATTTGCTATCGTATATATATACCATATGCGACACGTACTATAATAACTAAGACAAATGTAGCGATCCCACGAGGATGAACCTTGTTCCATCCTCATCATACAAGAACATAATCAAAATATCAAAAATTCAAAATAATTAATTAATTTATATCTTATCTCTTTGTCCCCCCACCTCACCCCACCCACTCCCCACCCTTCCCCGAGTTTGTGCCCAACATTATGCATTAAAGCCTGTAACCCATCCTCATTTCTTGCTGCTTGAATGGTTTTTCCACAGAATCATAACATGACCGAAAGACCAATAAATTCTCTACGCTATTTCTTGCAATCTGGAGGGATATTTTATACGCAATCCCAGATACAATGATGCAAGAAACAAATAAATTTTGATCTCTTCGACGGTTACAAATGATTTAAAACCACAAATGTAAAGTTCCAAGTACTGCATGAATGCTGAATATTCTTTAGGTGCCCAAAATTTAAGACACCATGCACCGATGTAGGCTTTTCCGAAAGAATATGTACCAATTCTAAAACACTACTATTTACCAGCCGCTCTTTTGAGACGTCAATGTTTCAGAAAATATTTCATAACATTGCATGTGATATTTTCGGAGGTACCGCCCTCCTTCCTTAAAACACTGCGTGTGATATTTTTTGAAATTATTTATTTAATAGGCTGATCGTGTAATTCATGTATAACCTTTACTTTAAATTTATTTTATAGCCCATTAATCGTTTTTGAAAATATCATTTTCTTTGTAATTTTGAAACTCAAGAAATTTACAAATTTCACTATTCCTCGATTTGTGCCTCAATTACATTTGGTAAGAGAACACGCGATTTGGACTTGTAGTTATATATTAGAAAGTCAACCTTATTAACAGGGTTTATTCAAGCCCTTATACAATAATTTTCGTGTCTAACCTACCGAACATTTACCCTTTGACATGTCTTCGTAAATTGTTCCTATTACGTATTTAAGCTTTAGACCGATTGAATTGCTCGTTTGAGTTTGATGAACTTTGATATTATATCATCTCTTGGGATTCCATTTTAAAAAACTCGACTTTTAGAACAAAGAGAACTCGATCACTTTTCAGTAAAGTCGGTCGATTAGGATGAAATCCACCAACAATTTGCAGATCACAAAATTAGTTCTTTAAAGAAATATCAATAGCTACAGCTTAAAGGACTAAAATTGGGTGGGGTGGGGGAGGTTGACTGAATGAGAATTTAAGAGGTACAAGAAATTAGGGTTCCGGCATGTGGAGGACTGCATGGAAATCTGGGTAAAGGAAGGAACAATCCAAACTATAGTCAAGAAACCTTGCAATAATCAATTATATATGACGTTAAGCAGACATAAAAACACAGTTCACACACTGTTACTGTCTTTTAAAAATATATTAAATGAACGGAGAAGACAGGGCCATAAAGGTTGGCTTAAACATCGAACACATTTCGCCATACACTGCCATTGTTTTACACAAAAAAATGTATAAATACATGAAAGAGTACTGAATACAGGCAAGAGCCTACTGGATTCAGTTTTCTGTCCCTGTTTGCTTCTGCCTTCGTTCGTAAGAATCTACAGAACTGATTATTTAAGTGTATTCTGTTTTGGTTGTATTCGTTTGTTCTTATCAAGGAAACTTGCGGCATCAAATTATAATTAATTAATTTTATGATTCATTTATTTTTTTAAATTTTAACTTATTTGTTATAGAGGAAACTACTTTAGAAGATATAAGTATAACCATAAAAATAAGAAAATAAATTTTATTTTCTATAATTCTAATAAGAATAAAGAGAAAAACCCAATGAATAAATTTTGTTTCATCTTTAAATGCTTAAATCTAAAAGTAATTTAATATAAAATCATAGTAGATCACCTTCATTTGGCAAAATTATAAATAATTTATAAATGGTCAAACTTCATTTTCAATTAGATATTCAAATAGTTTCATAAGTATTATTCACTTAATCACCTCCCATTTCTATTTATTTATAAGTTCTTTCGATTTTTCAATCGAAAAAAATGACTTGTAACCATGGATTAATTAGTTCATTAGTAAACAATATGTTTTGAAAGAAATAAAAATTCGTGTCCCAAATCAACTATTTTTAGGGTGAAAATAAAAAAAAGAAATCTCAAAATTCCATGCCCCCATTGTGCCCCTCCATTCGTCACCGAACACATGTAAAGAAAAACTTGAGACAACGTCAAGAAATTGTCACTCGTGCTTATCATCAATTTATAGTTTCTAACAATAATATAATAACATCATGAATAGTGCATCTTGCATTAGTTGCTTAAAATCCATCTCAAACCTTCACTTAGAGAAAGTAATGTTACCCTCAGAATAAAAGTAAAATGAAATTTGTCTACCTTGATTTTGTGATGCCATTGTGGGAAGATATTAGTCACATTAAATGTCGAGCACTTGTAAGTCCAAAAGTCTCCTAACCATATAATCCCCAATAGCTGAACAGAAATGTTGGCTGGTGGCCATAAAATAAAATAATAAAGATATTTACAATTTCAATTCTAGGGTTAGGCAAGTTACCGCTTTTGTTCTCTACAAGTTTTACTAGGGGCTTTGGACTTTATCTACAAATGGAAAACGTTATGGAAAGAGAGATGAAATATCCCTTTCCCTTCCCCTTTCCCACTTTCAATTTCATTTATTTTAATTTTTAATAATCACTACAAGTAGAGGTGTGTATTTTTTTCTGCAAAAACCACCCGAACTAAACTGGAGTCAAAACCTAACACATAATTGGTTCATTTGATTTGATTCCAGTTAAAATTTAAATTGTTCCAACTCATAGAAAACAATACTAATCTGTTTTTTGATTTCACTTGCAGACTAATCTCTAAATTAAATCAACCAGATCAAATCAGACCAGAATTTGTCTATTTTGGTCCTTTTAGGTTTCATGTGGAATATCTTTGGACAAAACCATGTCTAACCCAAACCACAAGAAAATATATTCTCAATAAATTTGAGGTTCACTATATGAACACATGCTAAATGCTTCATTTCCTTTTAAAGTTTACAGGTTGACAAGTATATGATATATTTATCAATTCAGTAAACATAAAAGGTTTTTTTTTTCCTTAGGTGGAGTTAATTTGAAACATAGCTATGACAAGTTCTCTAGGGAAAGAAAAAGGAGTCAGAAAAATATTGAGTAATGTGCTAAAAATTGTCATTGGGAGATTAAATTAATAGTCCATGTCCAGGTCCATTAGTATATGAGCAATGCTGCTCATCCAGGGCCAAATTCAGGGGCCGAGGTGGATGCACCTCAACCCTTGATTTGAATTCATGTGGGGCCCTTTTTTTTTTTTTTTTTTTCAAATCAGGGATTGAGGGGATGACACCTCATCCCCCTGAATTTTGATCAGTCACTAACCCTGGCCGATCAGCATTAATGTTAGTATATCTTCTATATATAAAAAGTGGCTATGAAACGGAAGTTATTGTTTTGACATAAATTCTTGTTCCACTTTTTCCACCGTTAACTTTAATGGATTCCGTTAAGTAGCAATTAAGGCAGTCTTTGTGCCCATTTATCTTCTGTCAGGAAGCTTCACGGTCTCATTGTCACCCACTATAAATATGATCAAAATTCACAACACCATTACATAAAGAATCCTACGATCCAGTTAATCAGGAAAAAAAAAGGAAAAATGTCTTTGTTCCTCAAAGTCTAAGCGAAGTTTTCCCACAATTTCAATCAACTAACGAAATTTCCGCCACCGCCAACGCGCGGATAGATTGGAAGGAGACGCCGGAGGCCCATGTTTTCAAAGCTGATCTTCCGGGACTGAATAGTAGTGAATGAATTTAGATTGACATATATTTGTTTCAACCCAATAGAAATTGAACCTTTTTCGTTCTTAATTAGTCATTCAACTTTCAGTTTTGTTTTACCCAATCTGCCTCTCTTTCTAAAGTAATGAATGGACACTACATGAAACCATTGGTTTTTCAGCCAGATGTTCCCTACCAACCAAAAAATGGCCTGAGAAAAAAATGCTCTTTTACGTACTATAAAAATACTTAGCCGTCTATGTCTTTACCGGCCACATTTGTCCCAACCCAACAGAAATAGTCAAAGAAAATTGTTTTTACCCTCCACTTTTTTGGTTGCACCAAAAATTAGTCACTAGAAATAATATTTACTAACAAAAATAATTATTAGTCGGCTTAACCAACCATATTTGCCGATCAGATGAAAGGGATAGGTGAATATCTTATTTTTCTTAGCAATTTTTTTTAATATTAGTCAGCTAATATATTGATTTTGTCATGTTAATTCTGTTGTAAACGATAAGTTTATTAGTGAATGACAGTTGTGCCCCTACGGCCCTAGAAATTTTTAATCGAAAGCTAGTAGTTCTTAAAGGACAGATAAGTCCAATACAAAAACAATTGAATTGGGTCCTAATTTATAAGACCAAATAGGTTGATATTTGTATTGGAGAGTTAATGATCTTTTGGGTCTTATCAGGTAGGTTGTGTCAAGAGGTATAAAGTGGTTTGAATCAAGGAATTAAACGCGACATCATTGTGATTGGACAATATTGTACATGATTAAATGTCAGCATTATTTTTTCATGAGCAGTTATTAGCATCTTGATTACTTTAATTGATTTTCATCTTAAATGTAGGATTCAAGAGGGCAGATACATTCATATCATATCACTGTTTATGGGTAAGCAATGCCAAAGAATATCGTCACTCTTCAAAATAGCAGCCAAAAATGCAAACAATTTCATGGTTAACGCGTGTTGAATTGAAGTGGACATGATTGAAAAAGAAAATAAGATAAATTCTTATAGTATGGTATCGCGTAAAGAAAAATCATGCTTTTAATTATAACAAAGATATAGTATTTTGGTTATCCAGTTATTCCATATTTTCCGTCTCTAGTTAAAATGCATTTTATGTCATTAATATAAGTAATTTTTACTATAAACTTTTGTAAGTACAAACAAGTTCTGCGAAGTAGAACATATTTTTTTCTTCTTTCCCAATAACTAGCTGTCTCCAAATGAATCTTTTAATCCATATTATGGCTTTAAGTAAAAGGGGAAAAAAGGGGGCATGTGGACAATTGATTCATGTATAAATATCAATTTTGATTGAAAGAACTGAGAAATACTTAGGAATACAAAAATAAATCTAGTAAATGTTGTTTCATATCAAACCTTATAATTCATATAAATATGAGGGATACAAAAATAATTATCGAAAATATTGTTTTATATCAAACCTTAAATAAACAGACACGTATTGTTTATCGTAAACAAATAAGTATTGATTATTGTAGAGAATTTTTAAAAACGTTTGTGAAAAATAATCTTAAAAACCTTTACGAGACTTTGGATTGAAAATTCTACAATTTTTCCTAATTTCTCCTGCTTTTCCCACAAGAACTTGAATATTGGCCATCTTGATCATTGCATTTGCAAAATTCTGCTGAAATGCACTTGGATTGGATGCAAAACTGGATACAATTGGTGCACTGGATCTATCCAGTGCGAGCTGCTGATCAATCTGCAGAATTCCTTTCTTGGAGCGTAATTGATTGTAGAACTGATTATCAAATATAAATGATGTGTTTTGATCCAAGAACACCGTTGGACCCCTGTTCAACGGCCTTGATGCTGTTCCACAAGTCCTCAAGAGTCTAGCAGCCAGCGCGGAATCCATCGTCTGATCAGGCGTTCCGGAGCCCTGAAAATTTGAAAGCCGGTCTTGAAAGAAGCCACAGTGTGCAACTCCAACTGTGTGTGCTCCCAAAAGGGTGACCATGTCATTCAAAGTGAGCCCCTTTGCTCTGAAAAATGGGAGTGCTTCTGGCACAGACAATGAGGGGCCTGGTAAATTCACCTCTGCTGAGTCGGAGACGAGGCCATCCCTCCTTCCAGTTGGTACATTGTAACGAGGTCCTCCGGCTAAGGCAACCGCATCTCGTGTTGCCACTGTTATGATATCTGAACAGGAGACGGTGGAGGGGCAGGCAGCTTCGAGAGCCTTTTTTATCTCATCAATGAGCTCGTATCCTCGCACTGTCAGGTTTGGTCCTGCATCCTTCTCTGAAGATGTGGACTTGGTTGAATCGATAAGTATCGATGCATCACAACCCTGAAACCGTTAATCACATGTAAAAATGTTATAGTCATGTTGTTAAATGACGTGGTAAAAGATGGTATCAAAATGGATAAAGGCTATAACTGCATGCAAATGCTAACCATACCAAATATGTCTTATATTATGTATTCATATATTCGCTTATAAGGGTTGATCCTTACCCTGACAAAACAGTCGTGAAAATGCATTCGAAGCAATGCTGCAGTAATGGATCGATCAGTGCCAAACCGCTTCTGCACCAATTGTTGAATAATTGGTTCTGCTCGTGGACAGGTAGAGCTGTAGAAACCAACTCGCAGTTGAGCAGAAGCAAAATGAATAAAGCAACAGAAAAGTAGAATAATGAAATTCTTCTCCATTTTTACTAATTTTGTCAAATAAGATGATTATTTTTTTCCAATGAGCAAAGAATGAAGAACAAACAGCGTATATATAGCAAGGAAAAAGCAAGATTTGTGGGGATGCAGTTTAGTAGGCCACGTGCAAAGTCAAAGAATACGATGGGAACGTGTTATCTGAATAATATCTTGGCTGCTCGTTCTTTTTGAAGAGCGCACACGTATGCAAACGCGTTAGGACTTGGATATTAAATAGCTTGTTTGGTAGGGATTTTTTGGAAAAGAATTGATTTTGAATAGTGATATGATGGGAAATGTATGGTTAAAAAAGAAGAAAAAATTATTGATGTGATGGAAAATATTATTATATTGAAAAATGTGTGATTGAAAATGAAAATTGATTTACTGTAGCAAAATTAGAATCCCTACCAAACAAGCCATAAATTTGCATATATTTCACGATCAATAATCAAATAGTTCAGATAAAAAAAATTATTTCAGTACATTTTAACGTGAGTTTTTGAGTCAAGTTTCTTACATGAAATGATGGGTTCCAAGATTTTTATGTGTTTGAATCACCTTGCATTTCAAAACTTCAAAATCTGCAATTTCTTGTTCTCTAATGATCTCAATCCCGATCACAATAAAAGTGGATTATTATTTACAATCTAAATACCTAATTTTGTGAGTTTTCATGCCATAAATGTGGTTCTAGACACTTTTCCATTTTTGAGTGAATTTCTATATGAAGTTCACTCATTTTCTACCATATCTCTCTCTCTCTCTCTCCATTGCTAGACTAAAATTGAAGGTTTTATGAAAATTATGGGAGGTTATGGGAAGTTATAGATTCGAATTCCAAATTCAAATCACTCCCTTCAAAGGAATTCAAATCACTCCCTTCAACTCTTTGGATGTCTTGTGGGTTGGATCCAAACATGAGCGATCTATGGACCATATTTTTTAACAGATTTTTTTGATTGAAAAATGAGTTTTTGAAGAACGTGTGGTTAAAAAGTGCATAAATTGTGAGTCTAATGGATTATATGATTAAAAATAATTTTTAAGAAAAGTAATTGCAAAAAATATTTGCCAAACTAACTCTAAAGAATGAGAATTAGGTTGATGTTGTTAAGGAAATATAAGATGTTACATATAATTGATAAAAATAATATATAATTAGGAATTTAGGAGAGGCTCTTAACTTTTATTGTTGTTTTTACATTTTTTAGGGTTGGACTTTGAGAACCACCTACCATATCTCTCGATTGTTGATTGCTCTAACCCTTCTAAGATATACTTGTTGGAATTTTGTGTTGGAATTTGGTTGTGACCAATTGAAATGATTTAAGTGGATATTCCTTGTTTGGTGAATGAGAAATTAAGCTGACCAATTGAAATGATTTAAGTGGAAATTCCTTGTTTGGTGAATGAGAAATTAAGCCAAACTTAAACCACTTAATACTTGAAATTATTGGAATTGTGTAGAATATTGTGGAATATTCTAGAGAATGTAGATGAAAAGATGTGTCTTTTCATATGGATCATG